GCGGGAGCCTTAGCCGCGGTTAGAGCGGTGAACGCCGAGTCGCCACCTCTGAGGACGGCTCGGCCGGCTAGTCCAGAGCGGGAACGCATGCGGCCGCGTTCTGCTTCCTAACTTCAGGAGCAGCGGAGATTTTTGTTTCTTTTCCTACCACTCGCGGTGCACCACAGCCAGCCGGTAAACAAAAGCTGTTCCCGGGGAACGGAACGCCAAAGTGCAGACCCCGCGGGCAGCAAGGAGGAGAGACCCCAGGCTGATACTGGGGCTCGGGACGCTTGTCGCGCTCGCCGCGGACCAGGCCTCAGCATCGTCAGAGGCCGGCGGTCCTGGACCTGCACCCCTTCTCGGTCCGTCAATTTGCGCCCCACTCCGGCCGAGCTGTCGCTGGCGTCGGGCTCCTCCGGGCTTGTGTGGATGCTTCGTACCCGTATTGCAGGAGGCAGAACTTCTTGATAGCATTCAGATACTCGTTGATTTGGCATCTTGCTTGAGTTGGCTGAGTTCGAGAATATAGGTATTAATGTTGTTGGTACTGTTAATAAATTGAGAGTCCTACAGGAAGCTCAAAAATACAGTCCAAAGTTCCAGAACTGTCAATATTGATAGTGTCTGTTCACTTCTAATGAGATGCATGACACCAGCAAGAAGACGGGAGGGTCTGTTTTGTTTTGTTGGAGATGCAGGGGGAGGGGGAGTTGAGGGTTTCTTTAATGTGATCCAGGTTGGCCTCAAACAGGCTGTGTAGTCCTGGCTGGCCTGGAACTCTGGATCCTCCTGCCTCAGCCTCTGAATGCTGGAATTACAGGCGTGTGCTGCCACTCCGGGCCTTCCCTACTCCAAAGGTCCCACTTAGGACACAGTTACCCGGATATGTCATATTGCATGTCACATGTGCTTTTTAAAGATTCTCTTAATGGAGCTGCTGTCACAAATATTGTTTTTATTTATCTAGCTTTTAGACCACTTCATAACATATTTAATGTTGCACAGTATTTTTTATAATTAATTCCAGTGGTTAGGGGCAATGACTTTCCTCTTCAAGTTCAACTGGAAAAACTCAGAACCATATTTTGTGTTACCAAAGTGAAGACTGCAAATTATACTTAAGATGTCACTTTTGTATGTAAAATGAGGCTCCAAAGTTACAAGTTTGAACCCCTACTTGGTTGAAGTCTTACTTCATTACTGGTAGTTTGCAGGTGTACCAGAAACTAATGTGGGCATGTCATCACATCCACACCATCCGTTACAGGCTGCTTGATTCCAAGGTCTGCCATATATAAACTGTGTTAATCTGGCCAAATTTTCATTTTGGGGGGTCTCCCTATGCTGTTCATGCTGGCCTTGAAGTCTCAGTGATCTTCCTGCCTCAGCCTCCAGAGTGGTGAAATTATAAGCAAGTGTATACCTCCACACCTTGCTTACCCTGCAAACCTTAAGATTTGTTTTGGTTTTTTTATACCGGGGATCGAACTCTGGACCTTGTGCGTGTGAGGAAGGAGGCCGCAACGCTGTGCTAAATCCCCAGCCCAATATTCTTTTATAAAATAAGAATGTTAAATATTTGCCTCCTGCAATTGTTTTGATGATTAAATTCACGTTAGTTAACATAATCGCTATCTTAAGTAGAAATATATAAATATCATTGTCCTTCCATAAACAATCAAACTTCCATTCAAAAGCGGTAATTATATTAACAGCATGTTTAATTTTTTGCGGGGTGGGAGGCTTGTTTGTTAGTTTTTTCCAGTGCTGGGGATGGAATACAGGGCCTCCTCCACTTGTGCTATGCCCCTGAGCTCTACCCCAAGCCTACCCTGGAATTATAGTAATGAGACATGTAGCTAGTAAGCAAATACTGTAGCCATATGTGGTGTATTAGACAATACTACAGAAAAATGTGTGTTGCACAGACTTGAGACAGATCCTGGTAAATGTGGACACAATTACAATTTTGTTGTTGTTTTGGTACCCAGACCTTGCACTTTTGAGGCCGGTCAGAGAAACCACTGAGCTAAATCCCAGGTCCTGACAATTATAATTTTAAATTTCCAGCTCCTTCTAAACCACCTGCTGGACGTCTCACTGTCACGCCTAACTCAATATTTTAACTTCTTGTCCCTGTTAATGACATCACATCATTCTCAGGAACCAGAGATCAGGAGTAGAATCATGTGAGGTCCTTCTTCCCTTATCTACCCATAACCAGTCAACAGAACTTACAGATTCTTTCCTTTAAAAAACCTTTCTTGTACTTGTCTTCCTTCCCTCCCCAACTCTTGTCATCTTGTTCACACCATTATTTCTGGTGCTCATATTGCTGCAGGGGCCTAATGCATCTCCCTTATTCCACTCTGTTACTTCTAGCTCTGTTTTCAAAGCTGGTTCTAATCCACTGCAATGTGATGGCAGTTTCTCGTTCCTAAGAAATTATGCTTACTAGAGGCAATAAAGGTCTGTTGTGCATGGCATAGTGGCACACATCTATCATCCCAGCTACTCAGAAGGCAGAGACAGGAGGCTCCAAGTTCAAAGCCAGCTTGAGCAACTTAATGAGACCCTGTCTCAACATAAAAGTTTCTAGGGTGGGGGATTTAGCTTAGTGGCACCATGCCTGCCTGGCAAGCACAAGGTCCTGAGTTCTATCCCTGGTACAAAAAAATAAAAGTGTCTAAAAGCTGTAGGTATAGCTCAGTAATAGAGCAATCCCAAGGCCCTGGGTTCAATTCCTAGTACTGGGGGAAAAAAAGGAGGGGAATCTGGGCTGGGGATTTAGCTCAGTGGCACTGAGCCTGCCTCAAAAGCTCAAGGTCCTGAGTTCAATCCCCAGTATGGAAAAAAAAAAAAAGGAAGCTGAGCATTATGGTATTCGTCTTTCATCTTAGCCCTCAGAGGCTGAGGCATGAGGATCAAAGAGAGAGGGGATCTGTTAGCTGTCCGTACCATGCACACCTTCATTGCCCATCTTACTCTACCCTCGTCAGTGGCAAACCCATGGTACGCGTGCTACATCACTGACGATTCTCACTCCTTAAACTCTCCTTGATCTCTCCAAGTTTTCCTCCTTTTTGTTTATCTGCTTGGGGTTTTTTTGGTACCGGGGATCAAACTTAGGGTGTTGCACTTGTGAGGCAGGCAGCGGGACCACTAAGCTAAAACCCCAGCCCATTCCTACTTTTAATGGTGCCTTCATCTACATCTCTTCCCTGGGCCATTTTCTTCTCTCTGCCCATTAAATGATTCCTCAGAATCATATCCTTGGCTTTTACTTCTCATCCTTCACTTGTATGATTACTGCTTGCTCCCCTGAGATGTCTACGAGGGCCGTAGACCTGGCTGTCCTTGTTTTGAAGTAAGGCACAACCTTCTAAATACAAGACCTAGTGTAAGGTCAGAGTCCTATGCCTCAGTTTCCTACAGATGGTTGGTATGAGAGTTAATTAAGTTAATAAATGCAAAGCAGTGGGATCAATATATAACATGTGATAAGCATACGATTTTTAGATGTTATTTTACGTATCTAACACTTGCCAGTCACCTCCCTGAAGTTACACAACCACACCAAATTCAACGTGTCCCAAGCTGACCAGACTCCTACATCAACATACCCAAACCTTCTTTCCCACCCAAATTCCCTAAGTTACTGTTACAGAAGCCAGTTAGTCAAAAAGCAAGGTGGTGGTGAGGAAGAACTTTATTATGAACTTTATTATGTTGTTAGCTGATCAAAAGATGACTGAACTATTATTCTAAAAACCATCTGTGAAGAACTTCCATAAGATATTTAAGGAAGTATGTTTTTAGCCACCAGTGAATGGGCAACAGTAATGATTTCTTCTGCAATGGTCCCTTTCTTTGATACACATCCTGATGTTACCTGAAGGTCACCAAATGTTCTGGGTTCTGTAAATCTAAGGAAAAATTATGGCCCGGTGTGGTGGTACTTGCCCATGACCCTAGCACTCTGGGAGGCTGAGGCAGGAGGATCATAAATTCAAGCCCAGCCTGGCAGTTTAGCAATTTAACAAGATCCTGTCTCAGAATAATAAGTGGGCTAGGGATGTAGCTCAGTGTAAAGGCCTGAGCTTCAATTCCTGGTAGCACACACACAGACAGAGAGAGAATAGAGAAAGGAAAGAGAAAGATTATGGATGGGGAGATTATGCTTTTCTAATTCCTTTTTTCCTTTTTCTTGGGATATTAGACAGTAGCAGTTAATAGCTTCATCATTTAAATGTGGATTTTCTTTTTGGGGTGTTGCTGCTGAAGGTTGAACCCAGAGCCTTTGCACTGAACTGCATCCCTAGACCATTATTTATATTTTTATTTTCATACAGGGTCCCAAGTCACTAAATTGCCCAGGCTGGACTCAATCTTGCTGTCTTTCTGCCTCACACATGTTTGGTTTGACTTGTAGTTAAATTTTTTTTTCTAAATTATTCAACAATTTAGAGCATGTACGGTACAACCAAGATTCCAGACTTTTCTGTGGCAACTGAAAGGTCAGGCAGACCTAGATTCTTGCACAACCTCAGGAACTGAGACGACACTGCCCTCTTTGGACTGGGCTTGTTTAGTGTTACTCCGGCCCGCATTATCCCTGTCAGTCCTGAAGTTGTGACCTCTTCAGAACTACATCAAGTTCCAAATAGACCTGGAAGGTTTTTCCTACACTTTTCTGGCTCCGGTAATCTCAATTTGTTTTAGTCGAGGACACCTATTATTTATATCCTTCATCTGCAATTAATTACGTATTACCTTGTGGAAAATTCATATTATTATCCTGACATTAAAAACAACGGGAAAAAAAAAAAAGACAGCAGAGATCGCAAGGTTTTGACACAAAGCAAAAAAAAAGAAAAATACCTTACTGAGTGGCAGTGATAACTACTGTTCATTAACTCAAGTATTTATTCTGTTCCTGCTGTGGGGATTTCCAGATTGCCGAGATTTTCCCAACATGCTGACAGTCACCTTGACAAGAGCTTTTCTTTGTGGTGCTGGGAATTGAACCCGGGGCCTTCACACTAACTACCTCCCCAGCCACTTTTTGTTTTTATTATTATTGTTGCTTTGCGAGACAAGGTCTAATTTGTTGAGTTGCCCAGGCTGAGCTCAAATTTTCAATCCCCCTGCCTCAGCCTCCCAGAGTGCTACCATGCCTGCCTGAAAAATACTTTATAAAGATGATCCCATTCACTCTGTACAATGCTATGAAATAAATATACTATGTTCCATTTTACAGATGTGGAAACCAAGGCATACCAGACTTTTGCATTCTAGTCTTGAATTACTGGATAAATCAATCATTATTATTATTATCACCATGGTCCAAAATCTGCTTCCTAACCCTTTTGTTGTTGTTTGTGTGTGCGTGTGTGTGTGTGTGTGTGTGTGTTGAATTTAGAGCCTGATTCACAGTGTCCCCACTGAGCTATACCCACAGCTTCTTAGCTTTGAAGCTCTAGCTGTTTAAGTATTCTCAGTGCAATCTGAGTCCATGAGCTAACAAAGACAAATTCATGGAAACTGATCTATCAAGGGACTTCTGTTTTAAAAGTGTCACCTTATAAGTTTACAGGTTGATAATTTGCATAAGCAAGTGAATGTCCTCTTTTTATCATTAATATTAAATTATATAGGAAGTGGATTAGTTAGCAAAGCCTCAGGACAGAAGAGCTTCTGTCCAGGGGACCACTACCATAGATGGTGACCAAAGGCCATTGTGACAAGGATTTATGCTTTGGGGTCTTCACCAGACTCCATGCAGACCAGTATTTCCCTTTCCATTACTCTTTCAGAATTACTGTAATTAATTAGACCACACTTTGATTAGATTTCTAGTTTTGGTTTGTTTTTTTTTTATTCTGTACTAAGGTATAGAACCCAGGGGCACTCTACCACTGAGCTAATCCCCAGCCCTTTTCATTTTTTATTTTGAGACAGTCTTGCTAAATTGCCCAAGCTGACCTTGGACTTGTGATCCTTTTGCCTTAGCCTCCTGAATATCTGGGATTACAAGTGTGTGCTTCCATGTCAGGCTCTTTTTGTAGTGCTAAGAATCAAACCCAGGATCCCACACGTTAGGCAAGCACTGTACCACTAAGCTGCACTCCCAGCCCTTACTTCTGAACACTGAAAGAATCTTGTCTTCTCAGGGAACTTCTACAAATAGCTAAGCTAATTCATTTTATACATATTTGGTCATTGAATTCTCTTTGCTTATTCTCAACGTTTCATAGTAGTACAGCCTATGGGCATCATATTTTATTTCATTGTACCTACTTACATTTTTGTCTTCCTAGTTTGAGTGCAGTAACAACAGTAATATGTACGGCCTGGGTCTGTAGCTCAGTGATACAAGGCTTGCTGAGCCCACACAAGGTCCTGGGTTCGATCCCCAGCATTGGCCAGTCATGGCAGCACATGGCGGTTATCCTAGCTAAAACATGAGGATCACTGCAAGTTCAAGGTCAACCTGAACTACAGAGACCTTATTTTGTGTTTGTACCAGAATCAAACGCAGGGCCTTGCGCTTGCCAGGCAGGCGCTGTGGCACTGAGCTACATCCCCAGCCAGAGACCTTGTCTCAGAAAAACAAAATAGGACCGGAGATTTAGCTCAGTGGTTTCCACGGCCTGCCTCATAAGCGCAAGGACCCGCGTTTGATCCCTGGTACCAAGAAAACAAAACAAAACACAGGAAAAAAAATATACTTGAAGAACTCTTTAAAATTGATACATCCTCTGCTATAAATTTGTATTTCATTCACAAAACCACATAGCAAAATTATTGAAACTAATGTTTTCCTCTTGCTTTTCTTTCTTGTACAGAAGGTGAACCCTAAAGAGGAGTACATTGACCTACACAAGCTTATCTGTGAACACTAGACCAGGTTCAGATCCCAGTTCTTGTGGTCTCCGTTCATCACGTTTTCTGCTACAATGAGCTGCCTCCAGGTGACCGTGCTTAAAGTTCTCTTCTGTGCCCCAAAATACCACATCTCGACTATTCAGTCAATAGTAATGGAGGCTTTGTACTGTAAGTATGAGCTAAAAGGGTCATCATTCTTACAAAATGCATATGAACAATTAAAAGCTATACTTTTCAACAACAAAAGTAGTTATTATCTGATATTATTCTAAGTCAGGGTTTCTCAGTGGACTTACCAGTGGAACACTTGAATACGAATGAGTTAGTTAAGGGTGAAAGCTGGGCCTAGTGGTGCACATCTGTAATTCCAGCAGATTGGGAGCCTGAGGCATGAGAATCACAAGTTCAACCCCAGCCTGGACAATTTAGTGACTTAATGAAACCTTGTCTCAAAATAAAAAATAGAAAATGGCCGGGAATGTTGTCCAGTATAAAGGTGGTCCTGGGTTCAATTCCCAGTAATAGAAAAAAAAAAGGGAGGGGGATTAGGGCTTAAAGCCATTCCTACTGAGAGGCTGAGACAGGAGGAGAGAAAATTCAAGTGAAATTTACCAAGATGCTTTCTCAAAATAAAAAATAAACAAAAAACCGTTGGCTGTATAGCTCAGTGCTTTTTGAATTCAACTCTTGTTTCCTACCCCACCTCCCAAAATCACTTAGGGTGCTTTTCCACATTACTGATTCCTTGGCTTTTCAACAATTTCACTGAAGCAGAATTTCTGAGGCTAAACACCAGAAACATGCTGGGGATTTTCTCTTTGTTTTTGTTTTATAGTACCAGGGATTGAACCCCAGGAGCATTGAGCCAAAGCCCCTGCCCCTTTTAGATTTTTTTACTTTGAGACTAGTACCTCGCCAAGTTTCCTCAGCTGGCTTCAAACTTGGGATCCTCTTGTCTCAGCCTCCTGAGTAGCTGGATTATAGGCACGTGCCACTGTGCCCAGCTGTGGCAGAATAACTTCTGAGGAGAGATGTCCTAAGGAAAGAAGGAAGTAGGCATGCTGTATTTGATCCAATAGCAAATTGGTATAAGACTAGGGAGGGGCGGGGATTCTGGGTTGAAGGTGATAGAAGATATTCCCTGAATTCATTTCTGATATAACCTACTTTGGTGCATATCTAGGTGTTTTGTTTTGTTGTTGTTGTTGTTGTTGTTGTTGTTATTTGAGGCAGGGTCTCTCACTTTGTAGCTCAAACTGGCCCTGAACTCACTATGTAACCCAGGCTGGCCTCAAACTCCCCGCAATCCTCTTGCCTCAGTCTCCTGAGCGCTGGGATTACAGGAGTGTGCCACCACCCCTGGCTTAGGTCCACTTTTAAAAAGGACTTTGTAAGTAAAATTGAGAGAAGGATTTTTCTACTACAGTAGCATATTTGGGCTACAATAAAAGAGGAAAAAAAAATGATTTTTTTTTTTTCCATTCACCACCAGGATGGTGGAGCAGCTGCGAAAGCAGCATGGAGTAGAAGCAGCACCTGGTGGAAGCTCACAAGGTTGGATTTGTTTCTGAACAGGTGTGGGACTCCTCATGGGGATGCAGGTTGGAGTTTCTGCATGCATCCGAAGGCCTAGGCCAGGCCCATTTGAGTTCTAAGGAAACCCTTGATTTAACCAAGAATGTTCTCCCACGCATTGAATAGAAAGCTAAAAGAGGTGGATTAAAGGTATATATGCCCCAGGTCCATGAAATCTTCTGCTCAGAGGGAATTGTGATATAACGAACAATAAAGAACCATCAATTCATTTTAACAGTATATCAACATAAGAAAAACAAGATTTTTTTTTTTTACTTTTTTACAATTTTACTGAGGTATAATAGAAGTACAACAAACTTACATATTTAAAGTTTAAACTACTATTTAGTTTTATTTCTGGGGGCTTTGTTTTCGTTTTTTGTTTTGTTTTTTGAAACAAGGTCATGCTATATATTCTAGGGTGGCCTTGGACACGTCGTGATCCTCCTGTCCCAGCCTCCCCAGGGCTGGGATTACGGGTGGGCGCCATCACACTCAGTCATTTTAATATACGTCTATATCATGAAACCACAATTAAGGTAAGAAATACTTCCATCCACCCGCACGTTTCCTAGTGCCTTTTTTAATTTTCATTTTTGTTATTACGTTTTGGCAGCACATTAGGATTGCATTCATGGTGGGGAGTTGGAGCATGTACAGAACACATCTTAATTCTTTTTATTTTCTGTTTCACCTCCCTCCATCCTAGTGCCTTCTGCAATCCATCCCTCCTTAATGTCATCACCAGACAACTACTAATGTGCTGTCACTATAAATTATGTCACCCCAGTTTTTCTCCAGTTACATGTAGTCATGCACCACATAATGACATTTCAGTCAACAGTGGACCACATATATGATGGTTTTCCAGGAAGGTTATAATGGAGCTGGGCTTGGTGGCACATACCTGTGATCCCAGCATTTGGAAGGCTGAGGTTGAGTATCACCGCAAGTTCGAGGCCAGCTATGTCTACACAGTGAGTTTGAAGCCAGCTTAAACTATATAGTGAGAGTTATCACAAAAAACAAAAGATTTCAGTGCAGTAGACTAATTCCTGTCACCTAATGACTTCATAGCTGTAGCCATCAACTCCTAGCACAAAATATTACTCATGTGTTTGTAGTGATAGAAAGCTGAGGCAGGCAGGGATGGGGATTTAGCTCAGTGGTGCATGCCCACTGCATGCCTCGCCAAGTGCAAGGCCCTGAGTTCAATCCCTGATATCAAAAAAAATTAAAAAAAAAAAAAAGCTGAGGCAGGAGAATTTCAAGCTTGTTATTTTGGGGTTTTTGTTTGTTTGTTGGCTTTGGATTTTTTTAAAGCATAGTCTTACTGTATATTCCAGCCTGGCCTTGAACTCACTATGTAGCTCAGGCTGGCCTCAAACTCGAAGTGATTCTCCTGTCTCAGCCTACAGTCATGCACCACCATGACCAGCATGAAGGATTACAATTTTGAGGTCCACCTGGGCAACTTAATGAACCCCTATCTCAAAATAAAAAATGGCTGGGAGTGTAACATAATAGTAGAGAGCCTTGAGTTTGATTCCCTGTGACTTCCTCCTAAAATAAAAACTTTAGCACATATAATGCTTTTTTTAATTTACTGTACTATTTTTCATTATTTTATACTTTTTATTAGTACGCTTCCAGTACAAAAATACAATATATGTACATAACACATTTTAATTCTTTTTATTTCTCCTTCTGCAAGATGTTTGAATTATAGCTTCTGTGGGTTTCTTCAGGATAAGCTGAGAAGAGCCTGGAGAATTTTCAAAATATAGCTACACTTAGTGGCAAGGAGATATGGACTACAGAAGCCACAGGAAAAATGAAGGAATGAAAGGAAAGGGATATATAATATTAGCAAGGCCTGATAGGTGAGGAAAAATCAGGAAGCGAAGGTAAATGGCCAAATGTTCTTTCATGGTAGCTGTAAAATTTGTGATTAGCCCAATGTGGTGGCTAATCCCAGCACGTGGGAGGCTGAGGCAGGAGCATCTCCATGAGTCCCAGGCCAGCCTGGCAACATAGCAAGACCCTGTCTCAAAACAAAAAAATTTACGATCCAACTAAGAAAAACAAAATTTTAAAAATAATTAGGGCTGGGGATGCAGCTCTTCGATAGAGCCTGTGCTTAGCATCTACAAGGCCCTTGGGGGGTTCAGTCCCCAGCACCACAAAAATATAATAAATAAAAGAATGAAGGGGGAGGGGGAGGGGAGAGAAAAGGAAAAATATGAGATGAGAAATAAATGGAAACAAAGCCTTTCAAATAGGGAGGGTTGGAGGGGTTGAAGGGAGGCCAGGGGAATGGGGAAAAACTAAGAACCAAGATCTGTCATGTAAAGGTACAAGATCCCAATGATGAATGTAACTGTACTGTATACCTAAAATGTACCAATAAAAGAATTTAATAGAGAAAAAAAAGAATGATTATTTTATTTTGGGGGGATATATTTTTTATTTCTAAAGCCTAAGATGATAACCATTCTGTTATTTTAATTAGGAGAATACAGCTTAATTCTTTCATATCTCACACTAAAAGATTTTTCCTCATCTGAATTTTTGTAACATTTATTGCCTGAACCACTCACTTAATACTAAATGACTTGTATTCTCAGTGATTATTTCATGTGAATATGTCTTGTTGCCCAAAAACAAATTTCCCTCTCCCAAAGGGGAAAATCAATGTTTTAGACTCACATCCCCCATATCAATAATTATCAGTAACTATATGCTGACTACTACACTTTACTCATGCTTATGAGTCAGACATTGTTTGAAAAATATAAAGGAGACATTCAAATTCTGATTGATACTTGAAGCAATGAAAGGTCAGGGTGTCATTAAACAATAACAGGAATTAGAAGGAACATCTGAAAATTAAACATATAAACAACAACAACAACAACAACAAGATACTGTATAGCTAAGTGTGGTGTTGCATGCCTGTAATCCCTGTGCTCTGGTAGGCTGAATCAGGAGGATTGAAAGTTTAAGCCCAGCCTGGCCAACTTAGTGAGACCTGATCTCAAAATTAAGATGAAAATGAAAAAATAAAGGCTGGGATGTAGCTCAGTGTGAAAGTCCTGGGTTCAATTCTATTACTACCAAAACAAACAAAAACCTCAAAATGTCAGAACACCTGGAAAAAGAAGACACTTCACAGAGAAGAAACAGGTTCTATATAAAGGAGTTATATACCCACCTGGAAGCTGGCATACAATCAACCTCATACCCTCAACATAGAGTAGAAAGGTGAACTAAAGGTCTTTTTTTCACACATGCAAGACCTACAAAAAAATCACTCATGCAGTCATCCTCAGGAAGCTAATTAAGAACATATTGCACCAAGAGGACAGATTATATTTGGTACCAGGGATCGAACTCCAGACTTTGTGTTTGCAAGGTAGGTGGCAGCACCATTGAGCTAAATCCCCAGCCCTGAAAAATAATTTTTAAATTTTGGATAGTATGAAGAGCAGACCAGGCATGGTGCCACACACCAGTAATCCCAGCACTTGGGAGGCTGAGGTAGGAGGATCACTGAATTCTGAATTCAAGGCTATTTGGTACCAGGGATCGAACTCCAGACTTTGTGTTTGCAAGGTAGGTGGCAGCACCATTGAGCTAAATCCCCAGCCCTGAAAAATAATTTTTAAATTTTGGATAGTATGAAGAGCAGACCAGGCATGGTGCCACACACCAGTAATCCCAGCACTTGGGAGGCTGAGGTAGGAGGATCACTGAATTCTGAATTCAAGGCCAGCCTGAATTACATAGACCCTATCTCCACACACACACACACACACACACACACACACACACACACACACACACACACACACACACAGCCAGGCTATGTGCTGCTCAGAATTATTCTATGTTGTATAGAGCAGCAACTGTCAGACTGTGCCATTTCATAAAGCAACAGTCTGATCTAAATTAGTCTATTTGAGTCCAAGTGCCAAAATAGAATGACTACACCTTGTTTGTATAAGCAAACAACCACCCTGTCTTTCCAAGAAAAGCACAAGGTACAAACTAATGTATTCATGGCAATAGCATATTAACTTAGAAATTACATCAGGAGTATATGGACATGGGAACATCAGAAAAAAATGGATAGTAGCCAGATGTAATGGCACACATCTGTAATCTCAGCATTCTGGGAAGTTGAAGCAGGAGGATGGAAAGTCTGAGCCCAGCCTGGACAATTTAGTAATGCAGCACAGAAGAAATTTTTTAAAGTGCCAAGGACCTTGGGTTTAATTTTCAGCACTCCCCCCAAGAAAGACACATGCATTTATCAAACACACCAGATGCAGCTGGGTATGGTGGTGCATACCTCTAACACCAGCAGGCTAGGAGTTGAGGCAGATGCACCACAAGTTCAAGCCCAGTTGAGCCACTTAGCAAAGCTGTCTCAAAATCAGAAATAGCTGGCCATGTAGCTCAGTGTGAAAGCCCTGGCTTCAATCCCTAGTACCAGGGGGCAACAGGGGGATACCCAATGCAACTCCTACCCTGGGCTTTATAAAAGGAGGGGCACTAGACACACAGGTATCACTAATCGCATCCTCTGGTCACCTGTTGCCACAGCCTTGCCCAGGAAAACTGGCAGGCACAGCACCTCCATCTGTGTGCTCCTGAGGCTTAGCTCAGCATGGCTCTCTTTCTGTGACACGTGAAAGCTGCACTTTAGAAATGGGCTCAGGCACAGACTCAGATTTGCCCTTTCTCCTGACAGCTCCAGGCTCTGTCTGCAAATCCTTATCTGTCCTCTGGCAGAGACTGTGCCTGTTTATCAACCCTGTGCCTCTTCTCTCTCTCTCTGCAGCCTCTTTTAAAGTGTGCCACTTTTAAGTCTTTCTTAGCCCTCCATATCCTACCTATTCCTGTGTGAAGTGTAATGTGTGGATTTCATGTTATAGATATTCATAATTAAGACTGCAATGAGGTAAAAGAACTAGGAGTGCTTCAGTCCAAACAGCAAGTGAAATCGAGAGTATTCGGTGAGTTAAAGCCGATGAAATCGTGTCATTTGTAAATTTACGTTAGTTAACTCTAACATTAGGGTCTTTTTTTTCTTTTTGGGTCTCGGGAATCAAACTCAGGGCCTCACCCTTGCCAGGCAGACGCTGCACTAAGCTACATCACTGGCAATGGCATAGGTTGCTCACAACAGTAACCTTTTAATTTGAATGTGGTTTACCCTACCTCATCGTTTTGCTAAAGATACATATAAGCAAAGGAAGACATTTGTTGGTTTATTGTTCTCTGATCTTCTCCTTAGATACAAGTCTCTAACACCCTTAAAAATATGTATTTTTGAAAAATTGATTAATACTTTGTTGCTAGGAATTGGATCCAGGCCCTTATGTTTGCCTGTATACCTGAGTCACAATACATCCAGCCCCAATCACAGTGTGCACATTTTCATGAATTCAAATAACTACATACATCCTCATCACTGTTCATCTTGGCTTATGTAATGGCCAATAACTACATTCCTCTAAAAGAAAATTGGGTTCTGCTTCTACTATGAACTGTTAAATCTATGAAGGTGAGCCAAGTGTGGTGACACACACGCGGGAGGCAGAGGCAGGAGGATTGCCATAAATTCGAGGCCAGCCTGGGCTACATAGTGAAACCCTGTATCAAAGGGGGGGGTGATGGGCCATTATTTGAGAAGTCTGTTCCTTGGCTTTTGGCTCTACTGGCCTATATATGATTCAGGCATTCATTCAGTTTATTCAAATAATACACCTTTACAGAACTTCAAACATGTGAGGCAACACACTAAATACTAATATTCTCAATTGTACCGCATGGCTTTCAATGCTGTATATTGTGCTTGATTTAGCTGTATTTATGCATTTAGCGGAACCGGGGATTGAACCCAGGGGACACTGTATATCTTCAGCCCCTTTTACACTGAGACAAGGTGTCATTTAATTGTCCAGACTGGTCTCCAACTTGTGATCCTCCTACCTCGCCTCTTAAAAGCTGGGATTACAGACGTGCACCACCACGCCCGGCTTGCCTAGCCTGAAGAGGAGTGAATGCCAATTAGAAAAAGTCACATTTTTCAGGATCAGGCTCTTCTCACTCCATCTCCATGCAAAGTGAAGCCAAGTTCACATACCGTCAAAGGCTTGGTTAATTCAATCACAGCCAATTTATTGTTATTGGCCCAAACCACACACTGTCTTCTGCCGCAGAAGCCCAAGTCCCCTACCCACGACGCCTGCGTCCAGGGGCAGGTGGGTGGCAGGGCTAGCAGAGGGTGGCGCTCGCGCAGCGCAGCCCCAACTACCGCGAGCAGATCCCGTCTTGCAGGCCAGGAAGACATGTCTCCACAGGCACCTCCGACCCCCACGCCAACCACGCCACCCACGAGCGACCCCGCAGCCCTGGGGACCGCCTGGAAAGCGATCACGGACAGCTTGCTGCTTAGATCTCCACTTTCAGCCGTCGGGAGGGGGGAAATCTCC